ATATTGGTAGCATTATAAATATTATAAAAACAGTAAGAAATGACTGGATTGTTGGATTGTAAGGTACCAAATGTAAACAACACCAAATTGAATCCAAATATTTGTTTTGAGTTTGGATACAAAAAACATATCAATTTTTGAGCCGTTGTTCCGCATGAAGAGCACACTTTCTAAATGCAGAAAGCTTGATTAACTGTCCATGAACTAAAACGTCAACAGTTCAGTTTACCTGCCTGGAGATGTTCGTGTACCACTGGCACACTACTAGGAATGTTTATTAAAAGCCGACAAATATGTCATAATATGTTAATCTTTAACAAACTTATATTACTATCTGATGGACATTGTTGGACTAAAAAATTACTCCCCCATTATTGCGTAACAATGAAAGATTTTTCATTATTTCTGATTATTTCTAAAACATAAAATGCAATGGTGCGTGTTTTTAAAATAAATGTCAAATATTGTAAGATTTTGTTATTATTAAGCGAATTATCAAGCTCTCTTGCCCAAATAATGCATTATACCTATCCTTTTAACTTTTTTTCCTTAATATAAAACAGTTTTCTAAAGAAGACTTCACAGCGCTAGGGAACTGACAAATCTACTGTATTTGTACTTTTCAAGTCTTTCTCATTAAGTAATACATGTAGATAGACACGTTCTTATAAATATATTATGTACACGTTTAACACGAGTTTTGCGAGTATACTATATTTCCGGATTACTTTCACGTACATGACATTTCTGACTTCTTGCAACTTTGCAACTAGTTACTACCATCACCAATCTTCTTCTTATACATCCTCACACAACATAGCGTTTGTCACGAATACGATATCTTACTAAAATAGAATCTACGTAAATCCCAATGAGGCTTGTTGTCTTAAACAATTCGATTGAGAAGTTATTTCACGGTAGAAATATATACTTTACTATCGAGAGTTAATTTTAGTTTACTCATTTGACGTAATGCTCAGTGACGTCATTTGAAAAACGAAGCTATTGAAGAATTATTAGACCATGTTCTTGGTAATAATAATGATCAGAACGAAAGCAATAGACTTGTTATCGGCAAATGAATTGTGGTTACGATGGTGACACCAAGCCTAATTAGCATATACCTATTTAGTTGTTGACTGAATGATAGTGTTATCAACTCAATGTGCCGTGACCTGTAGTTCACCTGTACAATCAAATAAAGGAATAATA